ATATATTTTTCTTGCATTTTAGCTTTTATTTATTACTTGTCAAAGAGTAGATGTCAAAGAATTTAGATACGTTAATTTGACTTACCTGCTTCAGTAGCGTATCGGATGTTTGTGTTAATAAATACTTATTATAACTTATCTGTTTTTATTAGAATTATATATTTTTATAACAATTTTAATAACTACCAACATTTATTCACAACGTAAAATAAAACAACAAATTATTGAGTCTCCCCCACGTATACCCTACATCATAGTTTTACATTTTTTAAATAAAATTAGAACGACACTGATAAACCGGAATTTAAGTCGGCCATATTTGAGGCCCATCGCGGTGTATCTAAGATTTTTGATATGCTCCTTCCTTAGTCTTCTTATTCAAAGGATTTTTTTTGTAGTTTCCATAGTTTCCAACGGCCATTGTCATACTATTGTCAAATTCTCAAAAAATATTGTCGTTGTCATAGCGCCAATCATCAAAAATGGTTATCAAAACGTTTTTCAAACTATAATTTGTTATATGTGTTTTTATTAGACAATTCCTTTTGTTTGTGGCCCTAAAAATATAATGTAAGTCTTTTATTTTTGTCATCATTTAAGTACCTATTTATATTTACTTCATTTACAAAACTTTGGGCGTATTACGTTGGTTTTGTTTTATTATAATAAACGATGTTTAAATATTTGACTTATAAATAAAAACTTTAAATAATAAATATTATTTACACATGTTTGGGTTTAATTTTATTTAATAATTGTATAAATTATACTGTTAAATCCTATTTTTTACACATCACAACGATACTTGTTATTAGTATTGTTGAATTTGTGTAAAAAATAAGATTTAATGATCAATTTTAATTATTTTAGAGCAAAATTCAATAAATACGCTCATTTAAAAAGCCCGCGCTTCGATCCATTTGAAACAAGCCCTACTCAATAGATGGCGCCACTTCTGTAGGACCATTTTTCAGTATGGCAGAGTCCATTCTTTTTCTAGCTAGGTATATTCTTTGACTTAAGTATTCTAAAAATGTCTCGATTTGGAAACGATTCTTTAAGTGCAATTGAAGAAAAAGTTGCCGAAAGTACGCCGAAAAACACTATAATTAATTACCAGTATACCTATATGGAAACAGTTTATAGACTTTATAAAAGATAGAAACTACATTTGGATGCGAATAGTTTATAATCATCTGCTGATGATGCAAATCAGACATCCAGTGTAAAAGTAAAAGTGTTTTGGTGTATTGTGAGTGTAATTTTATTTTACTGGCCAATATTTTGACCGATTGGGCATTTAATATGAAAAGGAAAAACGGCCAAGACTATAAGGATTTTCCCGAAGTCAATTAAACCTTACCTTCAACTCGATGATGAACATCATGCAAATTTGGTAGAAAAAATGAGAGACAATGCTACAAGTTCTAATAATAATACTAATGTTTTTTTTTGTACCTACTATAGGTTCTTTTAATTTCAATTCAAAAATTCAGCATCTTCAAGTACCGCAACGGAATCTAAACTTAATAATTTTTATAACTGTGTTTTTCAATGCAATTCTTCATGTAATTTTTAATTTCTAATATTATAAGTTCTGTTTCATTTTATTGCCTCATTTTTAAATAGATTTTTTTAATATGTTCAAATAAATGTTTTTAAAAAATCTATGTATTTTCACTTGTATTTTCATGTTTTTTATTTGGGAAATATTCTACCGAATTACACTCGTGCATCAAAATTAACCTGATAATTTTGATGCACTTGGGTAATTACTTCCGAATATAAACTTTTGATGTATACAGGGTGGCGCACCTCATTCGCCTCGGTTGATTATACGAAAACGGAAAGATGTAGAAACAAAATATTCTATGGGTATATGTGGGGAGGCAATGTGGCACAATTTAAAATTATTTTGAAATATACAGGGTGTTTCAGAACTAAAATCCGTACCAAAGTTATATTTTTTTCTTATGGAACACCGGGTATTTCATTTCATTTATTATTTGGATTCTTGGGCCCAAAAAAAGGCATTTGTTATAAGATTGGTTAAATATCTTTAAAATCTTTGGTTTTTGAGATATTTAAAGATATTTTTAATTTGCATGATACTATAGAATAGATTATGAACACCCTGTACATTACTTTTCAGAATTAATTCTTGTGCTGAGTTTAAAGGTAGAGAAATGAACTTTACAAAAAAATGTTATTATTTCCTTAAATTTATACAGGTGTATCAAAAACTGCTGGTCTATTTTACATATTTATTTTACATAAAAACTTTGTTGCAAACAAATGCTCTTTCAAATTCTATTAGGGTTTCCTATACCTATCTAGCTCACATTTTGAATAAGGAATAATTTTTCAATAAAATGGCAACCAAGAGGGCTAGTGTCGTCATGACAAGTTTCTAGTGACAGTTAGTAATTATTTTGAAAGTCGACATTAGTTTATGGACATTATTATTTATAATTTATAACAGTTTACTTAAATGTACCTACAATAGTTTAATAAGTATGTATTCATTATTTTATCAAAAAAAGTAGTATCTGCTGGCGGAACGAATGCATATGTTACTAGTGATTTTATTTTGCGAGGAAAATTGCTTCTTGGCCTCAAGGGCTTATGTTCAAAGGTATTCAAATAGGAATCTTCCTGATAAGCGTTCCTTTGAAAAACTACTTGTCCCAGTTCGCAGAGCTGGTAGTGTGGTTTGTAAAAAATATATTAGGCAGAAAGCTGTCGTTGGAAGTGAAGAAAATAAATTTGTGGTAATTGGCTCTTTTATAGAAAATCCAAATATCTACAAGTCAAGTTATGTATCCAGCCTTCATTGTTCAATAATGCTGATGCAAGATACCCTTCAATTATAAATAGCGAAGACGGACTTCAAACGACGGATTGATCTATCGACAGCAGTGCAGAACGAATCTCTGCCCGTCACCATATCAATTTTTTCTATTGTTAATTAAATAAGTTAAAAGTAAAATATAAACTAAAAAGTAGTAAATAAATCTTTGGTTTTCTGAGTTAGAATTATTTTTTAAAAATCAATTTTTAATATTGGAAAACATAAAGGTCATCGTAAAATAAACCAAAGTACAATATTGCAGATTTGTAGATTGTAGGAAGATATAGAAAGCCCTGAGAAATTTCTTCGAGTGTTTATACCGGGTCCAGACCAAGCAGACAAGGAACATTCATGTTTTACGACAAAATTGCGACAAATCCAATACATATCTGCGACATTTTTGTCTCATTTTTGTTTTGTTTCAAAATTCGGAGACTTTTCAATGTATCGTCTCGAGTCGGTAAAGATCAAAGTGTCTATGTTTTGTCCGTATATTTTGCGACAAGTTGTCGGCGCAGTGTGAATGGCGTGTGCTGCAATCAGTAGGAGACCAGTGAAATCACACATGGTTAATAAAACTCATTCGCAACAACTAAACTTTTGACTTTGTTGTATTTTTGTCCTTGCGGTGTGGACAATTTGTCTCAAGTTTGTCTTGTCAGAATTCCCAATTTTTTGTCGCAAGTTTGTCTTGTTTTCGCCTCAAAAGCGTGTTTACTTTTTGTCGCCTTGGTCTAGACCCGGCGTAAAGTATAAAAAGTGAGTTTACGAATCTAAGTTGATAAATTTATATATTTTTTTAGTTTGCTAAAAAATTCATGAAAATACGGCTAAAACACTTTAAACTTGACGAAAAAAATTTCCGTTGCGTTTTTTTGCACCTGAGTGTATAACGAAAAGCATCTATAGTCTGTGAAATGAATAACTTTGAATTTGACAGTTCCCGCGGGCTTTTCTAGTGTTAATTTTATTAGGTTAGCAACTTGCGGCCATGCTGACGCAATGCCGTCTCTAATAGAACAGCCTCGGAGCGAGATTTATGACGTCACGCTAGTTAGATACTACGAATTAATAAATATGTTGAGAATACATGGAAAATATAATTATTCCTTGTATTTTTGGTTACATTGATTATGGCTGAAATCGTACTCCATAGTCAATGTAGATAGTTTTAGTGTGAAGAATAATAATTTTAAAAAATATGTGCTCATCTTTTGACAAGTTTATATTAATTTATTAATTGCAGTAAACATTATGTGGTATTAGGTTAGGTTGTGAATATTTCATATGACACAACACTGATGAAGGCTATAATGTTAGCGGAAACGTTTTTTTTAAACCAAAAAAATAATGAAAACTTAATTAGCGTTTCTCCCTAACATAAATCCCAAAAAAATCAAAAATTTTAGAATAATTTTACATATAAAATGACAGCGATCTTTATTTCATAGCCATCGCTGACGCCTTTTTTTATGATATTGTATTATTTGAAAATATAATTTTTCGAACATTAATACTTGCAAAATATACATATAAATTTTGTGAATGCAAATAATAATACATCACTATTAGTAGATATTGAATGTTTTTTGTTAAATTAGATCGTATATATATTGTATTTATCAACTGTATATTATGTATATTTCATGTAAACTATATCATTTTTAAAATACAAACCAAAAATACGAGGAATAATTATATTTTCCATGTATTCTACAACATATTTATTAATCCGTAGTATCTAACTAGCGTGACGTCATAAATCTCGCTCCGAGGCTGTTCTATTAGAGACGGCATTGGTCTGATATTTAGAAATGTCGAAAGCTGATGACATTTTACTTTTGACAATTATTACATTTTGTGTTGATTTTTGCAAGAAAAGGAAGAACTGTCACTTGTTTTATTATTTTCCTTTTCTATTTCACAAAGATAAAAAGAGTTACCTATCTGATTCGTTCAGGCACTCAATTTAAAGAATATCAGTAACTTTTTTGACAGGGGGATTTTATATTTGCAATGTTGGTAAAAAATAACGGTCAAAATTCAAAGTTATTCATTTTATAGACTATATCATAGTTCTTATTAACATCCTGTTGTTAAAATAATGACACTTCGCTTAAAAAAAATAAAACAAAATTTTTCTTTTCAGAAAAATGGATTATCTTCCATTTGATTTAAATGAATCGTCTCTGAAGTAGTCGGACAACCGTTTAATTTGAGAGGGTGTAAAGAGATTAAGAAAAAAATCAACTAAAAATGGGTATCATTTATCTGCCATCAAATTCAACGGCATCGCATCGCTTGCATTTCGATGGCCAGGCGCTGGACATGTACGATTTGGCGCTGAACATGTCATGGAACGACAGCAACGATTATCAGTTCTGCCACCCGTTTCATTCCTATTTACAATTTTTTACAATATTTTACACGCCGATCATAGTCGCAATTGGTTTAATAGGAAATCTACTTTCTTTTTTTGTGCTGTTGACTACGCATTTAAAGTTGAGGAGTTCTAGCTACTATCTGGCAGCTCTTGCGGTAAGTATACGTAATTTTAGCCAATATCTGTAGGCTTGGTGCATTCTCGGCCGGTGCTGCCCTAATACACGGGTTTAAATAGCGAGTATACGAAATAGTATATTAGATACCGAGGAGGGAAGTGTTCCATTATTGTCGAGAGATTAACTAAATCTCGAGACAATAATGAAAACTTTCCTCCGAGGTTTGTATAATATTTTATTTACAACCACATTAATCATTAATTGAAAAATAGGGACAGTATTTTATTTTGAAAAAAAAAAAATGGGAAAATTTGTCGTTTTCTGTTTTGGCATTTCCATATCTATAGTTACCGGTACCAATGGTGGTTATGGCGCAAACCACAAACGTTCAACAGCAAAACAAACAACTAAGTGACAGTTTTGAATTTCTCCTTCTCTTTTTCGAAGTTATATAACATAGAAAGCCAGAATCATAGATAAAAGACTTATACTATTAAATAGATAGGCAACTTATAATACATTTCAATTTTATTATACAAGGGTGCCTCAGGTAGATGGAGGAAGAAATACTATTGGAAGAGAGGGGTGCGGGGAAGGGGGGGTTGTTTTAGTTAATTTAAAATAAATTTAGACATACATGTAAGAACACTTTGTGTGCTTTTAATTAGGTCGAACATATTATAAACGATAAATCAACTGAATTAAAAGCATACAAAGTGTTCTTATATGTCGGATATTAATTAAAAAATATATTAAAAATACTAGAAATAGTATATATTAAGTTGTTACAGTTATAATTTAATCTTTGGCGGTTTTCAGCAAATAGCAGGCAGTTTTACATAATTTTCCTCCCTTTGAAGTGAATTGGAAACGGCTAGGTATATAATTTTGGTGTAGGCAAGATTCCCAGTTTGTTTCTGTTTGGGACCTGAAATAATAAAAACAAATTAAATCAGATGTAATCATCTGCTGATCATGCTAATATAAAACGCGCGTCCTTAATTCCTTACATGCACCGTAAAAAAATTTAAATAACTGCTCTGCAAGTAGCATTTATTAGCAGTACTAATTTAAAAAATCTATAACTGTAAGTAGATATGTTTAATTTACTTACCATTGTATCCTTCGGAAACCAGGAGTACAACAATTAAACTCCATGATAAAAAATAATTAAAAGTTATTACAAAACACAAATTGTCCCACCATTTTTAAAAAACATTGTCTAAAACAGAATACTGGCAAAAAATCTGAAGGAATTTAATTTTACAATAATTCGACAAATCAAACGAAATCAAACCGTAAAATCACAACAAAAGCGTCTCTGAGTGACAGTTAAAAATCAAATTTTATTATTGTCAGATATTGACATTTGCATTGTTAATATTGACAGTTTTAATATTTTGCGCCTCTGCATCTTGGAGGAAAAACTATTTTTAATGAACTGTCATTTCCATTTAAGTTTCCCAGCCATGGCCAGAATGTTGTCGGAAAGTTCTGATAATGAAGACTACTTTAATATTGGTATTGGTACTCCACCAGAACTTACAGAAGCTACAAAAAGAGCAGAAGCCAGTTTACTTCCAGAGAAAAGTAGGAGGCGATATGGAATAGCATTGAAAGTATACGAAAAATGGTGTGTCGAAAGAAATGCTAAGAATATTGCTTCGGAGACAGTCTTGATGGCATATTTTAGCGACATAGCAAGGCAGAAAAAGCTATCTACTGTTTTGGCTACGTTCAGCATGATACGGACAATGCAAGAATTAAAGGAAAAGACTGGCATATCAAAATATCACAAACTCGTCGCTTTTTTAAAACGCCAGAATGTAGATTTTAAGCCAAAGAAGTCGAGCATTTTTACCAGTGGTGGAGTAAAAACGATATCAAAATGTGTCAAAAAAGTTTTTGGAGGTATCACTACATGATATCTATACAGGATTATCAGTTAGGGCTTTGTGCATGTGAAATGACTAATTACGACCTTTTTGGAGAGGTCAGAAATTTTTTATCCAGGAAAATGTCAAAAATCTGTCAAAAATGTATAACCATGTTTTTTTACCTTTCCTACGCGATAACTTCTAAACTACTCAACTTATTCACATACTCTTTTTTTTAATCGATTGAGAGCACATAGGCGGTGATAGCTGAAGTAATTAAAGTTCCATAGTGAGTGTATTTTTTTTTGAAAAAAGGATTAAACTTCAAACATTAATTTTATTGTATCATGATGCTCGGTAAGCGAGAAACTTTTTTATTTGAAGGAATTTTTACATGGTATCTGCGTATGAAATAAAGTAAATTATCCTAAATTAAATTAACAGGCCGCGCGCGAGAACGCTCGGACCTCGCCGCCCCAAGACTGATTTTATTTGGCGGCACGGCGCGGCGGACGCGATGTTTTCCGTAGGCATATTTCTGATTATATGCATTGTACCTGCAGTTTGAAATTTAGTAAATTCTGTACGTTATAAATTATTTAGTTATGGACTCTTTAATTTGCAAAAAAACTATAAACAAAATTATATTTTTTTTTAAATCCTACTATACGAGACCTAATCATAAATGCTGCGGAAAAAAGCAAGATGATGGCTATGTGAATATTAAATTAAAAGATGATATTATCATCTTTTTGGCTTAATATTATAATATTAATTAATAATTATTAATATATTATATTAACATTCATTGATATCATTAATTAATAAAATTGATATGTTCGCTAAAAATCCATGGTCAGTATTTCTTTTGCCAATAGGGCTGAATAATTTCTCATAAACAAAAATACCTAATATCAGTTATTCTTATTTACCGTAAATCTTTTAATGCGTGAGACATAAAAAAAGTACATCAAAAAATGATTGAATTATTTAATAAAAAAAATTTAGTAAATTAGTAAATTCTGTACTGTACATTTCTATTATTATTTATTAAAGTTTATTTTTATTACGGTGGACTCTGACGACTCGTTTACTTCGTGTACTTGTACAAATATTTGTTATTTGGATATAGTTGCCATGTGGTGTGAGTGGTTTCTTTGCGCAAATATTTGTCACTAGCCGCGTAGCGTGAGAAGCTTGTTGCAAAATATGTTGTTTACAAAGATAGTATACTTGCCAAGTACACAAATATTGGCGTACTTGCCAAGTACACGCGTCGACAGAATTCAGAATCCGAAATACCACAACGTTTGTTTATATAATCCCAAACTAAATTAACGACATTTTTAATTAAGAAAGCATACTATACATTGGATAAATTTTTCACTCACTTAGATAAGCATTTTGTGTTATAGATAGCATTTAAAGCATATAATATGACAAGTACTTTAATTTCTTTAATATGCGTTTTAATTCAAAGTATATTTATTTTTAGTAAATATATATTTATTTAATATTATTATAAGTAGTAATATTTATTTAATAAAATGCGATATACATACATATGTATTATCTTTTTATTCAATTGTAGTCATATTAGTCTAATGTAAGTATTATTGGTTTTTAGGCTTAAGTTAATTTAATTTTACCAATGTTCCATGCTTATTAGGCTTTGTAACAATACTTTGTTATAGTTAGAATTTTTTTTTAGAATTTAGAATGAGTGGGAGGGGGGTTAATCACTGCGACCTTACAGATCCATTGGGTCCCCCTTTCTTGAGTCATAACTCATCATACAGTCCCAGGGCTTTGACAAAAGCCAGTATCTGGGACGGTTTTATAGAGGGTAGTTCTCCATCTCCAATCTCAGTCGTACCAAAATACTGGTGTTTCCCCATCTTCCCCACAGAATCTGCATTCGCCGTTTCTTCTTAGTTTCAATCTACTGAGGTGTTCATTGAGGAGGCAGTGTCTTGTTAAAAACCCCGTGACAATCCGAAGATTGTTCTTACTTAAACCCAGGAAGATCTGTGATTTTTCGTGATCATAAGCCCTCAGAAACTTCTTTGTTATAGTTAGAGATCAAATAAATATTATTATAGCACTAGTTAATTAAAAAAAGTATACCATTAATATTGCAAATTATATTTTATCCTCTCATAGTATATCGTCCCATTGCTGCCAAAAGTCACTAACTTACTTTTTATTACTTCCGAGAAAAATGCGTCTAAAGATGAATTGTATTGCATAAAGATATTATAGTTAGTAACTATTCGGTATTAAAATAAAACATAAATGGCCAGAAATCGTAGTTAATGACTTTTGCAATCGATTCTCCGCTTCAAAAAATAGTTAGTGATTGAATTTGGTTGTTCGGAAAAATGTTAGTTAGTGACTTTTGGCAGCAATGGGACGATATAACGTCAATTTAATTTTTTGATTATGTAATAGGCACTTTGTTTCCTCACTTGTTTCGTCGAACTGCTTAAATCCATTTTTGCTTTTGATCAAATCGGTGCAAGAAATTATGAAGCTATAAAATGTTGTTTCGGCAGAGTTGAATTATCCGGGAAAGTTGAGTTATTCAATGTTATTGCACCCAACAACGCCCTAGTTACGCTCTCCTTTACACATTAACATTTTTTTGGGGAATTTTATTAACATTTGAAATTGTCACAACACAACAAGACGCCTAGTTCGAATTCTTTTTCACTTATTTTTTACTACCCGAAACAGCGTTCCATCACACAAACCTCGTACCTACCTGAGTGTTTTATTGTCTCAATAACTGCACTAGCAAAAAACTAAAATACTTAAATATTATGACAAAACCTCGATTTCAATATTATTTTAATGCGATCGACATGACATAACGGCGGCGTGAACTATACGTTGATCATTTCTGATTTCTGCCATAGAAAGCGCTGCGGTCGGATTTTTTTGAAATCAACTGAAATGTAAGTATATTGCCTTAATAATCTTTGCTTTCAAAATACGTGTTATTTATTCATGTTATAGAAATGTATACTCTGGCATACTTAAAGCCCATCTTTACATGATATTTAATTCCATACAAGGTGACCCCGTGTTATCTTATATATCCCAGTTGTTATTTGATATATCTTTTTATTCGAATAATAATCGATATTTTAAAAATATT